AGGAAAACAGCAGGCCAGGCAGCATCAGAGGAGCAGGAAAGCTGACAATTCAGGTCGAAGAAGGGTCCCGACCCGAAACCTCGGCTTTCCTGCTCCTCTGATGCTGCCTGGCCTGCTGTGTTTCTCCAGCTCCACACTGTGTTAATACGGAAATAAACACTGAGTGAATGGATCACCAGTGTCATAACTACAGATCAGAATCCCAAAGTGCTGTGGATGTTTTTAAACTTATAATTCCAAAATATGTCTTTTCAAAAGAGTACTGACGCAGCCAAAAGTGGCTGTGGATGTAAATTAAGTGTCTGGAGAGAGAGACCCAGGGAAGGTCATATCTGTGGATGCAAAAAGAACCTCAAACAATAGACCTTCAAAGGGGGAAGAAGCAAGTCAAAACAGACTGGATTGATTATTTCCACCATCCATAGACTGATCTCTTGTGAATACAAAATTAGTGATGAGCTGATAAGATGCTGCTCAAAAGAAGCCAGCCACTTGCAGATTGATTTTCCCTTTGAAGAATACACAGACAGCAGTTAAGAAGCCAGTTTCATCTCTATGGGAATGTGCAAGTGGGCTTGAATGTTCCTGTGTGTACCAGCCTGGTGCAAGTAATAATGTGCAGTTGAAGAATTATCCCCCAGTCACTCCTGTGTTCCAGGTAAAGGGATAGCCTCTCTCACTCCAAGTACTGCAAACTAGACAAAAGGGAAAAGGACAAAAAGTCTCTCTGTCTCACCCTGAATGCTGGAATTCAATCATGGTCAAAAGGAATCAGAACAACAGAATCTCAACTAATCTGAGAAACTAAGGATCATGAAACCAACTATTCAATTACCAATGACAATGTTAATGGTAACCTCCACTACAACAAATCACAACATTCAACTATCTGATCTTTGCAAATAAATCAGACACATCCATATATCTGTGTCTTTGAAGTTTCTATTTGGACTTGCTCCTTATTTCTAATCCGTATGTGGTATTAGTATATCTACTCTTGTGTAGTAATTAATAAACTTACACATTTAATTAATTCAAACAAGACTGCTTCGTTTGGTTCCTGACTCAAATATAAATTGATTTGGGTCTGGGAGAAGTATCCACAAGGGATCTTTCTTTAAATTAACCTTATTGGAACCAACCAAAGAGGTGGTTGAATACAGAAGTGTAATCAGTTCAGCCTCACTTGTCTGGAACCATAACAAATTGAGAACCTCATCTGAGGTCTGGTTTCTGCATTATTGCAGATTTTCCTGGTGACCAAAAGTTTAAGTGGGGCTTGTGTGGTGATTTGCCCTTGGTTAAGCTGGCCATAAATTTGAACAACGAGGTGGGTTTTAAACAGAAGAAAGGTGCTTGAGTTGTTTAGGAAAGGAATTCCAGAGTGTGAGACTAAGACAACTGATGGCACATCCACCATGGCAGGGTGAAAGGACATTTACAGGAGGTAAGGTTCAGAGGAACAAAGAGTTTGGGAGGGTTCTGAAGAACAGCCATCTCAGACTCAAATGTTAACTGTTTTTCTCCAGCATTTTCTGTTCTTGCTAAGGAGTTTAAGAGGTTGTGTGACTAGAGAAAATTAGGGAGATTGGTAGCAGTAAAGCCATGGCAAAATTTAAAGTAAAAGGATGAGGATACAAAATTTCAGTTACTGGAGGAGTATACTGGTTATGGAAGTAGATAAGGTTTATTTTTCTATACCCATAATAAAAAAAAAAGCTCTGCAACATTTAAGACTGGGTTTGTTTTAAGTAAAAAGATCATTTAGTTATTTATTAATAATGATGTTGCACATAACAATGTGGCAGATTATGTCTGAGCAAAGTGAAACAGATTAGTCACTCACTTCAACACACAAAACAATGGCAACTACTCTGCCGGTGTCATGGATAACATAACAAGACAACAGTTTCAAATGGATCAGAAGGAGAAACAGTTCACTTTATAAATTAGCTGGTAATATCCCAGCTCTATAATCATCCCAGTGTAAAACATCAATGTATTTCCTTGACCCAGAAAGAGACTGTTTTTCTTCATTCTCGCATGGGATGTGTGCATCACTGTCAAAGTTGCCAATCCCCAATTGCCCTTGAACAGAGTGTTTGGCTCAGCCCTTTCAGAGAGCTTTTAAAAGTTAACTTGCTGTGGGTCTGTTGCCACATGTAAGGATGGCAGATTTCCTTCCGTAAAAGAGATTAATGAACCAGATGAGTTTTTACAACAATAAATGGAAGTTGTCATGGTCACCATTACTCAAACTAGCTTTAACTTGCAGATTTATTCAGTTTAAATCCCACCAGCTGCTATGTTGGGATTTAAACTCATGACCTCATAGCAATAGCTATGAATCTCTGGTGACAAATCCAGTGACACTGTTATGACACCACTGCCTTAAGTTCACTGTCCATCCCAGGGAAGATGGTATTCAGCCATGTCCTTAGCTCTTTAATTTTGTGACATTGCTTATTCATTCATGGAACAGGGGTATCGTTAGCAAGGCCAACGTTTGTTGTCCAACGCTAATTGTTTTTGTAACCAAAGTACTGGAATGTTGGTCCAGTAAGATTTCTGGTGTGCAACATGGAGGGGAACTTTCATTCTGTATGATTCTTCCATTTGAAATGCGTAACAATATCTCCTATCGATCATTTCTCAATTTCATTTCACAGCAGGATTCTGTAGCATAGGTTTTGAGAAGTGGGAAGTCAGTAAAGTCTAAACTCTAGAAAGGTTGAAATGGCCTAGATCTGGATCCACTAAAAATATTTATTGAAGATAAATTGCATTCAAATGCTTATTTAAAGAAATCTCAACAAGGATACCACTAAGCTCAATATCCATTTTTGCATGCAGGTGCACTACAAATAGCTAAAATTGAGGATAAACAATCCAAGTTTAGGACTAATGTCCCCAGTAATGGATAAACAATGTTTTTGAAATTCTTTTTTACCAAAAGCACAATGAATATCTTATGTAGTGAAGTTGTACTGCTTATGCCATGCTAGATGAGAAATTTCAGGTTTCTGCTCTCCAACTTAATTGTCTAATCTTCAACTGGTGACAGCCTAACGGTGGAGAGTGAGGGGAGCAGCACTCAGACTTAAACAGGGATCTCTTTGCTTCCAAGATGAAAAATGTGGGAATGGATAGGTGATATCTAGTTAGATTTAACTATTAATGCACAGAACTTGTAACCGGTGGCAAGGTTCCCAAATGTTTGCAACATGGTGCACATGGGTATCTAATGTGTATGGGTATCTAACATGCTGGATCCACACTAAAATGCAGCTTCACAACATATTCAAAGCCACACATTAGTAGACAACTTGAAATAGCTTCAATATCAGAGCTTTTTGCACACTCACTTCTTACCTACTAAAATAACAGCTGCAAAGCCAATGAAAGGAGAAGTCACAAAAGCTGACGGAGGCTGTGATAACACAAATTTAGATTGTCATAATATTTAGCTTCTTCCTGTCCTGTCATTTACATGCCAGCATGGAGGAGTTGTTTTGTCTTAAAATGAATATGTTTTGCCTAAAAGGACATGCGGTCGGCTGTTTTCACACGCAGCTACACAAACTGAATCATGCTTTGAGGATGTTACTGTTTAGAGTGTTAGAAGGCACTGTAAAAGGATCTCTATATAGAGTTTCTCAAAGCCAAAAAACTCAAGAAATAACTTGAATTTATATAATTGTTACAAAGACTTTATATTTAATATTGCATGGAGGACTTAAGTTTGGAAAAAAATTTGGAAAACGGAGTATGCGAAGCTCAGGAGAAGACATGTGTCATTAATAGTTCAGTATAACTGAAAGTAAGCATTGAAATACTCAAGCAGTATTGAAATACTCAAGCAGTATTTGCCTGTTGCAACTGAACAAGAATGGAGGCTTGGTACTGTTAGCTATTGGTGAAGAGCTGGAGCTGTTCCGAGTGCAATCTGAGCACACGGGAGCTTAGCTCCAAGTAAGGAAGATGATTTGAATGAAAAACATTGTTCGAGAAACGCAGCATGTCTGTAGCATCTGTGGAGAGAGAAGCAGAGTTAACATCTCAAGTCCGATATGACTCTTCTATCGCACTCAAAACGTTAACTTAGTTTTTTCTCTCAACAGATGGTGCCAGACGTGCTGATTGTCTCCAGCATGGTTTTTAATTCAGATTTCCAGCATCCGCTATACTTTACTTATATTAGAATTAGAATTAGGTTTATTATCACATTTACTCAAATAAGTGCAGTGATTTGTTTACAAAGTTGCCACTAATAGTGCCATCTCAGGTACAAAGATACCTGGGTACTGGATCTTAAGAATAAATTAGAAAAATAAAGAACTAAAAAGTTCAGCATTACAGTTCTTTGCGCCATCGCAGCCACAAGGTACTTAGGTACAGAATCTTAGGAATCAATTAGAAAAATAAAGAAACAAGAAGATCAGCATTACAGTCCTTCAAGCAGACTGCG